TATGGATTAATAGACACCATTTTTGTTTGCCCATCTGTCACCAAATGTGTAAACCAAAAACCAAATGGACTGCATCTCAATCTCAAGGAAGTGGAGGTGCAGATACACCATAACGCTTTCTCGATATTCACTTCTCTGAGACCCTTTCGTCATAAATTTATGCGTTTTGCTCTCAGACTTCTCTATCCTAGGGGTGGGATACAATGTACTGGCGATTTGTCTTATGGATTGATTGACACTATCTTTTACCAGTTTCAGAATATCATCAGGCTTTGGCCCAGTACCTTCATCTTCTATACGAGAGCTTATCTTCACTCACTTTCTTTGCAGTCGAGTAGGTAGACGTCTCACTATTACCTCTAGGACTGAACTTGAGTTCAGATTGCTCATGCAATTCATCGAAATCAACGTATTCTTGTAAGTCAACAGATTATCCAAAAACTCAGAGAGTGCCTTGGAATCATCTCATAATTGACTACCATTACCTTTAACAGTCTCGAATACGTCCCTTATATTCATCGAAGGTCTTCCAAACCTTTGACGCAGGATACGCATCTCCTCAGTATATCCTTCGTTTGGGGGCGTAAACTTACAGCACTGTATAGCTCTTGCAGCAACACCAGTGCAGTAACTCAACAAATACATTAACTTCATTTCATCATTTAATAAAAACCACTCAACATGATCTGAAACTCTTTGATAAACTGTGGATAGTCGGCTAGGTTTCCATCAAAGTACCGAGGCTTGAGTTTAACTAACTTTAAACCCTTACTATCCCTAAACGGCGAACCATGAACAACAGACTCATCGTGCTGAGCATCATACATATCATTACAATTAACAAGCAACTCAGCATTGCTTACTTTTCTACCTGCTTCCTAGACGCCTTGTCCCTTCTTTGACCCAGCCATGAATGAACTTGACCAAAAAACCCAGAAAACTTCCAGATAACACTTCTCCAAAGAAGACGGGCAAAAACCAGGAAAGACGAGCGGAAACTATCAGAAACTGTCAATGTCCAGCTTTTACTACACTGGACCTCACGCTGTCCCTGAAAGAGTTTCAGAAACAATGTGTAATAACCAACGCGAAAAACCAGAACACAGATTGGTGACTCGAGAATCCCTTATTCTTACGCCGATATGTAGCCAACAATAAGGTTACTATACACAAGGTCTAAGAATAAATGTTATAACAACAAATCATGATAATACTTCTGATAGTTTTCTGTCTTCCACCGAATAGCGAACGATGACCGGATGACTGCCGTATTGATGACTCCCGCGAAAAATATGGAGGAGTTGGGTTTGAGCAAACAACCATGAATTGTTACTTCAGTCTTCATCTTAATTGGCACCTAGCTTTTGCAATCCTTTTGCTATGGTGGCGTCTGTGTATCTTCTCTCGTTTCTCCATCGTTTTTCAATGCTTCGGTCAGTATTGCTTGTGGTTCTTCCGCTTTCTCCGCCTTACACAGGACTTAAAAACCCTACTTTTGTGGGGGGGTTTCTGCCTAGTGACTAATATGTGTGTGCTGTACATGGTATTTCCAGACCAGTTACATGTGATGGTCGTTTCAAAGTCACTTGAAATGATCAGACGCTTGTTTCGTTTGTCTCCAGTCTTTGGTTCCCTAGACCACCTTTTAATGGTTTAACGTATGTTGATCTCTCACCTGATAGAGACCTGGTAGTCCGAAATAATGTTCTGTAGTATCTTTTACCTGCGGACTATTCTGCTTCACTTGCCAGTTTGTCATATAATTGTCTTTTATCTACTGTCTCGCTCCCCTTCGACTTTCTATTCAGTGCAAAGTACATTGAACTTAGCTATTCCTTCTGCTCTCCATTTTTGTATTGAGTCATCTGCTGTTTCACCATCCTCCTTTCTTCCAATAGCTTCCAAGTATCCGCTGAAATTTATTCCTTATCTCGCTTCTTCTTACCCCCTAAAATGATGGTACACGTTTCCTAGAACGTCGCCTTTAAAAAGTCCCATGTTCTTCCACTTTGGTTTCCTCAGTAATGACACGTAGTGTACCCAACTTTGCCATATACTGATCTGTAATGAAGACATCTCTTGTATTAGTGTCCTTCAGTTTATGAGTACTGAACTTAAAATTGTGGTCTGTCTACAGATTTTTCGAAGGTCTCCAGCCTGGCTCTGAAGATCCCTTCAACTAGATATTGATCTGAGTCCACATGCGATCCCCTTCTCCATTTTCTGTCCATCAGATTGCAGTGAGATGAAGTCTGTCAGAATTTCGATGTGCCATCTGATGAAACTCATATCGTTTTGTACGTATCTTTGGGCTTGTAAACGCTGCTTCCGATCACTAAATCATTGAAGGTGAAGTGTTCCCCATTGTCATTCATTAATCCGAGAGCCTGTAAACCCACGAGGATTTCCCTTTCTGTATTTCGTGCCCCCGGTTTGACCTGCATTCATGCCACCCATAAGAATTTTGATGTCGCCACCTGGGGTGTGGTCCACTGCTGTCTGTAGTTTTCTATAGAAATCTTCCTTCTTCTGTTGTGGTTAATTGTAATCTCACTTCCTTTTGAGTTGAATTTCGCTTTCCTAATCCTGAAGGAGATCGTCCATCATTGCATTGGAGCTTTGGCTGCTGTTTGTGACATCGTGATGATCAGTTTGCTCGTGGTTTGCATTTGGGTGACCGGAGTAAATTACTGACTGTCCACATGACAGTTTACACAGCTGCATACATTCCATGTGCACTTCCATACCATATTTTCGCACTTCTGGAGCTGTCTTGAGAGACTTGCCAGTTTCGCACATTGTACGAACATTACACGTCCCAGTTCTTATTTCTCTCTCATCGAAAAAGGCACATGGACTCACTGACTTGCCGAAGACTTCCACCGGCTTGAGTCTTTTAGCCTCTCCAATTCCAGAGAGGCCTGATTTCTTTGAACATTTTTTCTAGTTCAATAATTTTCTTGTGCGTCGAAGTTTCTGTAGCAGTTCGATAGGTTTAGTGGGGTAGGGTCGCTTACCCTGCACTCAACCCTCCGTTTTTACCTGGGCTCGGTACCGTCTAGAAAAAAATGAGCTAGTAAACTGGGAGTGGTTGAGAATAATTCATAACATTTAAGTGAAAATATCACAAATGCGGGTTTTTTTATAGCCGCGTCACAGTCATCATAAAGCCTACCAACTTCTCTATCGACAAGATCTGGATCAGTTTCCCTTAGTTGGTAATGGTGTCAGACCAGTTTTTGCGGTTTTTACCGCCACTAGATCTTCTGAGAGAATTTGGATATAACCTTTTCATGCAAAGACTGAGATAGCACTCGCTCTACCTAGTCATACCAGACCATTTTACAAGAAGAAACAGAATTTGGAAGTTCCAGCGACACCACTGTCCTAGTAAATGTCACAGGTTCTCCCAAGTATATTAAGATTCAAATTTGTTGGTTTAGGATAGAAAGCTTGCAGCATGTGTTGATCCTTTTCTATTAAATTTCTGTTCTCGTCTTAGCCATTCTTAAATGAATCAGATGAGGTTGCAGACATCACTTCTCCTGGGAATCGGTTCCAGGTTTATGACCCGATGTGAGAACCAGTACTCTGCAGCAATATGGTTTCTCCTTGACTTCTGAGCTCTCCTGATATGTGTTCCGACCTGGTAGGAAGAAGAGAGAATAGATCATGTCAGTAGTTATTATTTAAAATGAATGGACCCCCTCTTATGGAGTCCAGCAGCAGAGGGAATAAGTCGCACTAGAATCCGCAGAAGATGTGGAACCATCCCGAAACTAGAAAAACTGAATGCTTGGAAATCTAAAGGTTATACGAGCTAGTAAAAAATTAGACGTTGGATATTGAATACAATGAAAATATTCATTCAGAAATCTATAAAACACAAAATAACTGATCAGAGAATATCCTTTTCGACAATTTCCTCCTCTGGCTCCACAATTATATATATAAGTTAATACACATAAAATATTCTTGAATAGTAGTCAGTAACTGTAATCCCATTTATCTTTAAAAGTCGATATTATTTAAGGAACAATATTGTTATTGACTACCATTCTAGAATATTCTATGAATATAAACATATAAATAGTTGTGGAGCCAGGAGAGGAAATTATCAAAAAGGATATTTTAATAGGCATTTTTATTTTTTTATTTACAGCTTGATTTTAACTGTATTTTTGGTACAAGTATGGAGTTCTCAGCATGGGTACCGGTAGCCCAAATTTTGCAGATTGACTATAGACATCAAGTGTGAGTCGGTAGGGGATCGAACCTCGCACCATGTGCATGGCGAGAGTCCTAACCACTGTTCCTAAGACGCACAGTTAAAATGTTTTGAGCCGCATAAAGCGCTGAAGGTTTTCAATGAGTACCTTAGGTATAATGCTAAGTTCAGTATCCATTCTTTTGAAAAAATTTAATGGGCATTTTTAATCAGTTTAAAACGATATTCTTTGCTCAATTATTTTGTGTTTTATTGATATTGAATAGTTGAACTCTTGCTTAGCTGTCCTCCGCGTAAATTAAAAATTGCCGAGTAGGTGATATATTTAGTATCATATGCACGTTTCTTTTATTCTTAAAGTTGAATCTGCTTTTATTATCACCTTGTATAGTTATCTAATGTGCTGGCTAAACCTGCCCCGGAAAACCAGGAAAAAACGTTAATAAATCAATCATTTTGCAGAAACAGTTGATGAATACTTGCAGTGTCTGTCAATCATGCACTGAGTAATCCATTTAATCCTACAGTTAGAACTGGAATATTCTAAATTTCTTTGTTTAAAACCCTTCATTTACCGAAAGCTAAATTTTTGGAGAATTCGTTAACTTTGAAGTAGGAATTTATACTCCTAAGCTTACAACAAGGCTGAGATAATGCCAGTTATTCAATAACCATCGCCTTTTTTCTCTGTGTTGAGTTAAGTTTCGAAAAATGCTAGTGGCACTGTCTTCATGCACTGAACTGCATTCTGTTCTGTTTCTCCGTATTAACGTAGCCCAGACTGAGATATTCCAGCACGTGTATCTGTGTATAATATAGAGTTAGCTAAAAATCATTGTAAACTGATATTAATTAGTGTCAGATATATGTGTATTGTTTAGTAGTATAACGTGTTCCAATGGGTGTTGTAGGGTTTTTTGGAATATGACAGCTCTGTCAGCTTCAATAGCTATCTGTACCAATTATTATCTAATGTCTAATGATTAGGTTGTTTTTGTAGAGATTGTTTTATACCTATCCTCACTGACGGGGGCTTTTTTGTTTAAAACTACTAGGATTCGTGAGGTGTTCGTCTTCAAAGTGAACTTTTTCCTCTCAATAGTTATATTTACGTAATACAATTAATATTATTCAGTGCTTCTCACAGTGGGTAAAAAGTCGCACTCATATAATTTTGAGTATTTTATTTTATTTTTTGATTTACAGCTTGATTCCACACTGTATTTTTGGTACAAGTATGGAATTTTCAGCATGGATATCGGTAGCCCAAATTTTGCAGGCCGACCATAGATATCGTGTGTGCGCCGGCGTGGGCTCGAACCCCGGACCATGTGCATGGTCGGCGAGAGTCCTAACCACTGTGCCACCGACGACACAAATCACAGTTAATACCTATTTGTGTAGTAAATTCCAATGCAAATAGTACATGTTTTTAATCCGTCGATGGGATCCAATATCTGTTGTTACACCAAAAACCAGCGGTTATTCTTTGTCGTCACCTATGAGGTGTTTCTGAGCGCCATAATCTTGGTACGTTCGACCAAAACACTATGTAATCCGACTAGATTATATTGTATTGTAACTCATTCGGCCAACATCTAAAGAGGCATATTTCCGTTACAGTAGTCATACAAACTTTCCTTTCTTCGTAATCATAGTTAGGAGGAGAATTTTGTTGGCGAGTAGGGCTTTTCACTTCACTCAACTATCTAATGAACTGTTTGAACTCGCTTCATGTTTTATCGTAGTCTACCACTACTACCTGTAACTGTAACAGACTGAGCAGTTGTAGGATAGAAATACAGACCATATAAGAACCGCCTAGCAGTACTGACTTACGGTTTGTACTCACTATACCTAATAAGGAATGATTTAATGTACTTGAGTGTATATTAAAGTTCGTTTTATTCTTCATTTACAATATAACCACATAAAACTGTAAACAAAAATTGGATCGCATATTCTTGAAAGGTTTAATTTGATGCACAGTAGCTACTTTAATTGTTATCAAATATAATTTGCATGCTTGTGATTGTCAGCTAAAAGACAAGTTCATTTGATACCTTATTCGTCAGTATGTTGCGTATCACTAAAGCCAAGAATTTCATTCCATCAGTAAATTATACTAGTAAGCAGATGTTTAACACTGGTCCTATCTGAATAAGACCATTTCTGTTGGGAAGCAACAGAAATGTGGGAAATGCTAATTTACAATCACTGGTAGTATTCAGTGCATTTTGCTAAGATGTGTAGGATTGCAAGTAGAGTGGGCAGTTCCCCATTACTCTTCTTTACGTTTCCTATGATTCTTCATTAATAAATCTGCGTCATTTTGGAATTGCCCTAGACCTCAATGTACAAGAATAAATTAGTCTGTGGGTGGACCGTCGTCGACTGATGGCTACTCACTCCTAGAAAACGAACTATACATTTTTATTAACAGTAATGTGCCTAAAGGATTATTAAGAGCACGTATGTACAATCTAATATGATTTTTTTTCTCCACTGTACTGTAGGTTGACTCAACAAATATGAAAGCACTCATTTTAGTCGGAGGCTATGGAACTCGATTGCGGCCATTAACATTGACCTATCCTAAACCGATAGTAGAATTCTGCAATAAGCCACTCTTACTACATCAAATTGAAGCGTTGGCCAAGGTAAGATTTCAGAATTTTAATAGACTCGTTTGTTTGTTTAAGAATCTTCAATTCACACAAAATTAGATGCACTTTACACTTGACATGACTCGTTTTTACCAACTTGCTCATTCGGCGTGACAGGTCAAGTGGTACATCATGTAGGAACTGCTGCGAAAATGGTGAGAGATTTGTAGGTTAATGATCAAGGAATTCTGTCATAAAACCGAGTGGACTGTAGCAGGAAGTTTATTTATTCTATTTATTCGGTATTCATCGTATCGTAAACTTGTTTTTGTTGCACCGATGCATCGATAATTAAATGTTATGTGACCTGAATTAACCTATTCAGTGTAAAAGATGTGTGTTAATTTTTTCATGCCGTATATGTAACTCAAATATTCAGTGTAACTGACTCTAAATTTTGTCAAGTGTTCCTCTTATATTCATCATAATAAAGGTTTTTGTATTTCCCAATGAATGAATGAAAAACAAAACGATATTGTTTTTACTGACGTTTCACCATTTAATGCTGCTGCTAATAGCTTTATCAAAGTATTATTAAATCGGAATTTACAAAATCTCAGTATATATATATATATATATATATATATATATATAACAAAGAGTTAAAGGGTGAGAAAATAGACTTAGGTCAAGTTAAAAGGACCATATTGAAAGTCAAAATAACAATGAAGATCACTAAACCAAATAACACAGGTAATAGTACATCTGTTATGATATCAAAACAAAGTTTACTAACTTGGTCATCGTTCATCAGTCTGGGGTCATTTTTCGTTGCCAAGTTAGTCAGTTGGTAAAGATAACAAAATCAAGTGTAGATTGTTGGGTTTGATAAGTGTGTAAAATTATAAAACAGCGTGTTTTTATATAATGATATTGCTTATCGTATTCATGTTGATTTTTTCACATCATGGGGGAGCAGAGGGAGGTGTTGTAACCAGGTCAAATTCTGTTTTAGTTCATTATTCCTGTTCATGCAATTTGGATTCCACTTGATATGAAGTGCTTATGATGAAATGAGATGTTCTTTGTGATTTCTGAAGTTTTTCTGGATGATGATTTCAATATTGTCCAAATCAATTTTGTGGCCTTATTCTATAGCGTGTAGACAAGCTATGGCTGATGATTTTTCAACTTTTTATAGTTCAACTGGATTTTTCGGTGGTCGAACAGATGCTCTACGGTGTTCATTTCTTCTGATTTTGATTTCTCTCTGGCTGTCTTTGTCCGATGTATATCGCATCACATTCCAAGCATTTTACTTTATAGACACAATCAGATATAGAGATTTGTTCTTTTATATGGACAAGGTTGTTTAGTAGTGTGATAATTCGTCATTCTACCAAATGTTTCTCATATTTTCATAGGTTTATTTCCGTCTACCACCCATAGCACAGTGAATAATAATAAAAGTTGGGAGATGTTATGTAAAATTCACATATCCACTAATTAGTCCCATTTTGTTAACATATTATTTCACGTTTAAATATTACTTTAAAGGTACTTCGTGTCTCAGATTATTTTCTCCCCTCGAGTTATAGAGGAATAATATGAGTTAAATATGATCAGACGAAGAGTATGTCTGAGACCAATCATTGTGTCTCGCATTTGGTTACAACCTAATATGCTATACCTCTACAACTACCTATTTAAGTGTATACAAAGGAATTAATCACTGTGCGTACACTCATTTTTTTTAATTTTTCCAACTTTAGGTTGGCGTAAGAGAAGTTATCTTAGCTGTTAGTAAATGTGCTGACCGAAGTGATATCCTGGAAAAAGAATTATCAAAACATGAGAAAAAAGTAAGCATTTTGTGCATTGTAACTACGAAAGTATTTTTGTTATTGAGGGTAATATTTAAGCATAAGCGAATATATATATATATATATATATATATATAACCCTTAAATCGTCTCTTACAGTCTAGTAAAAGCATAAACGACACTTGCCTATAGACGTATTACTTCATTATCAAAGTGTTGGAGGCAACATTTGATATTTGTGTAAATTCCAATGGATTTCACTATCCATCTTACTTGAAATAATTAGAATTAAGTGGTGGGGTTCTAAATAAGCTGTCAACATCACTCTTAATTACTGTTAGATGGTTGGAGGCAATCGATACGACGGAGCTATGGGCCTAGGTTTTGTACTTGTCGGTACCCAACAAACAGCCAGCAAGGCATATTTGTAATCCTGAAGAAACTCATGTCCCTTCTGAGATTTAAACCCGCGTCATTCAATGCTGTAGTCAGAGATGTTACCACCACTGAGGTATTCGGGCTTGCAACAGACCTCCTGGATGCTAGTTAGTAACTACTGTAATGTGTCTGGTCCTTTGTTTGATGCTAACTGAATTCTGTCAGTCAAGTTTGCAATGTGGCCACGATACCTCACTCCATCTCTGTAAGTTTCTTTCGCAAGTTGCTAACTTCTTTTAAACTAGTGTAGTAAGCTGTATTTGATCTAATGTACTGTAGTTCAGCTAGATTTCATATCCTTACTTGAAACTGGCTACTTAGTAGTAATAGGACTGTTTAACCTGTCCTTAAATTATGCTTATGGCATCTTTCGAACCTCATCTAGACCATTAGTCTAGCTGGGCTATTGAATTGCTAACTAAGCTATCTAGTTCTTCTTATTTTTTCTTAACTTGGAGGTTTGTTTTTTCAAAAAGTGATTGCTCACTCCATGGAATTTGATTTCTCATTGAAATATCTGTGTCGGTTGGTCGCACAGCCTGTTTAGAGTACTTATTAAGCTTGTGTTCATTTGAGGATCTTCCTGCCGGTTGTGAACCGGCTCATGGCAAGTCGGGATGTAGAGTTTTTCGAGTCAACGCTTACTAATCCTCCCCTCCACAATGGGAGGTGGAGGTGTAGCGTAGCTGACTTTCTGGTTGTCTTTGAGGGGAACGCCTTACTGTTTTTCATATCTCTGTTTGCCAACTTCTGTACAACTTCTTCACCAGTTCCTCAAAGTTTAGTATCAGCGAATTACACTGCTTTCAGTTTTACCACTATCCAAACGATCTTTCTGGGATAGTAGAACCTATATGAACATTCAATCTTTGGTTGAACACTCTGTAGTAACTGATGTCATGCTGCGTTCTAGTCTTCGGTGTTGGCGCAGACTGAAATGTGTCACTCAGGTGTGCAATGTGGCCACCAAGCTAGATGGCTCACCATCATGTTGTACTATGAATTATTGTTGTTAGACGGTTGGAAGCAATCTGTAGGAAACCCTAGATATAGGTTTTGTGTTTGTTGGCCTTCGTCAGCGAGGCGCATCTTCAATCCAACCACTGTGCCTTATTAGGTGTGGCCACCATGTCAAGGTAACAGCTGTGAGTCGGGCGAAGTGTTAGCGTTCAGTTGAACGTTAACGGCGAGCCATCTCAGCCAGGTTTTAGACGACTTAAAGTTTTCATGGAATGTTCACGGTTGTAATTTTAACTGTGAATTGTAAAATCATTATACAAACATTAACTCACATGTTTTAATCTTTCCTCTTTTTAATTCTCAGATTGGTATTAAGATAACTTTCTCTTATGAAACTGAGGCAATGGGAACTGGTAAGTGAATTTTTCGCATTCGGATAATTTGAAAACACTTCACCTTAAAATTACCTCATTTAATTGGCCGATTCAAAGTCGTTTAATTGATCTCCATTTATCCAGTTATTCGCTATGTACTGCAATGTATTACCTGATAGTGTTAATGACAGATTAACTGTCTACATAAGCTACTAGTAGTTCAAATAGAACCTCATTTAACAAAAGTGATATAAAGCGAAGCAATTAGGTACGCTTTGCCTAGTGGAATTCCTGTTCTAAGCTACATTTATGGCAACACGATGAATTGCGCTTGTATTTATTATTATTATTGTTCCTAGTGGAACATAGGGCTTCAACTGCACGTCTCCACTTGCTTCTGTCTCTTCTGCTGTACTTTTCACCTGCATCCGTGTTAGTCCATACTTTGTTTCAACTCCTCTTCACACCATCTCCTCCATGTCACCCTTGCACCGACGACCCACTTGCCGCTTCCCTTTCGGCCTGGTTCCACTCGAGAGCCGGACGCGCGCGCGATGTCACCCAGCGGCCTCCTCAGCGAGTGTCCAATCCATCTCCACTCCATCTCCTGCATATATGTTTGTTGGCGATTGGTTCTTGTTTTGTTTGTTCACATAGTTTCTTGTTGGTGATTGTTTCTGGCCCGGCCATCTGATCTTCAGTATAGAGCGAAGACAGTTGTTGATAAAGGTCTGCAACCTGTTGGAAATACATTAGACGATTCAGATAAATTACACCTTTTTATAGCTTTATCTAAATTTCGTAGTTTATCATGTGAAATTTACAATTCTAATTGTACATTTTTGGAAATGTTTCTTTAGTTACTAAGAGAATTTACTGTACATGTATGCGATTGTACAGCTTGAGGAATGAATGATATTGCCTGAAAAGAGGAGGAGTAACCTCTTCACTGAAATGTCGTTTCTTTATTGTCTTTTTATTTCTCTGTTACTTTTGTAGCTGGTCCAATCGCTTTAGCTAAAGATATGCTACTTGTTGATAACAATCCATTTTTTGTACTCAATAGTGATGTGATGTGTGAGTTCCCTTTCAAAGCAATTATTGATTTTCATAAAAGTCATGGAAAAGAAGGCACAATTTTGGTGAGTTTTATTTTGAATTAATGGATTGATTATAATAATAGAAAACGTTTATCGTTTCCCAACACTGTCGTTCTTTAGACAACTTCTATTTGTTTAATTCGTTCATTCGCCAATTTGAAAGGCTGGATAAAAGAGCTAGTCCTGACTTTATCAGGCAATAAGAAATCCCCAACAGTTCAGTTAAGCCATCTAGGTAGGGAGGTGTAGACTTTCTGATTGGTTGGCGTCCTCGGGATGTTAAAAACTGATGACGACTGGAGACAATTGGTGATATGGATCAAGCTCATCGTTCTCGGTGATGGCTGGTGCAGATGCATTCACTCTTTGTGTTTTATAATATCCAATAAAACTATTTTTCTATTTCCTTCGCACTTTTGTTGATTATCTCCGTTTTGAATCTCTTTTAACCTCTCTTCTCTTGTTTTAGTCTGTTACATGGAGAGAGAGTGGCAACTGGAACTGTTGTGTACATCTGTGCGAAGCAGTTCTACGTCGAAGCCAGTCAATCACTCGGTCATTGGTTTATGAAATCCATAGGTTTCTATTAACCTATGCTCTATATATGCCCAAACCAAGTTCACTTTTAACAGTTTGAAAAAAATTTGGACATCGGGTATATGATATTCATTATAAGAAAGGCTTTTTTCCCAATGAACGAATGAAAAACAAAACGATATTGTTGTTTTTACTGAAGTTCCACTATTTAATGCTAATAGCTTTATCAAAGTATTATTAAACAGAAATTTACAAAATCCACTCAGCTTATATATAACAAAGAGTTAAGAGGTGAGAAAATAGGCTTAGGTCAAGTTAAAGGGACAAATTGAAAGCTAAAATAACAATGAAGATCACTAAATCAAATCAAAAAGGTACATCTGTTATGATATCAAAACAAAGTTTACTAACTTGATCATCGTTCGTCAGTCTGGGGTCATTTTTGGTTGTCAAGTTGGTCAATTGGTAAAGATAACAAAACCAGGTAGGTGTAGATGACTGTTGGATTTGATCAGTGTGTAAAATTATTAAAGTAGTGTGTGTGTTTCAGGATTTCATCATGAACTGACATTAGTTAGAGAACCATTGGAAAACCTTCCAGGGAGTACTGGACAGCTGTTTCGTCCTAGTTTGGGACTCTTCAGCAGTACGCACCCACCGGGATTCGAACCCAGGACCTTCCGGTTACAAGGCGAGCTCGTAGACCATTGAGCCACTGGGACCCGATCCAATGGTCCTTGAATTCTAACTTCTAATGGTATACGAGCTCGCCTTGTAACCGGAAGGTCCTGGGTTCGAATCCCGGTGGGTGCGTGCGGCTGAAGAGTCCCAAACTAGGACGAAACAGCTGTCCAGTACTCCCAGTTGGTTTTCCAATGGTTCTCTAACTAATGTCAGCTCATGATGAAATCCTGAAACCAATCAAATCCCTACAAACTAACACTTGAATAGTGTGTGTGTGTGTGTTAACGTAGTGAACTTGCTTATCACACTCGTGTTGATTTTGTCACTTCATGGGGGAGGGGAGGGAGGTGTTGTAACCAGGTCAGATTTTGTTTTAGTTCACGATTCCTACTCAGACATTTTGGATTCCACTTGATATAAAGTACTTCTGATGATATTAGACGTTCTTTGTGATTTCTGAAATGCTTTTTCTGGATGATGATTTCAATATTGTCCAAGTCAATTTTGTGGCCTTATTCTATAGCGTGTAGACAAGCTATGGCTGATGATTTTTCTCCAACCTTTTCTAGTTTAACCGAATTTTTCGGTCTATTTTCTCACCCCTTAACTTTTTGTTATATATAAGCTGAGTGGATTTTGTAAATTCTGATTTAATAATAATACTTTGATAAAGCGATTAGCACCATTAAATAGCGAAACGTCAATAAAAACAATATCGTTTTGTTTTTCATTCATTGGGAAATACAAGAGAACCCTTATTATAATGAACCTGTACTTTGTTTATGCATAAAAAGATTGACTGAAATTTCATTATAGAATTATGCACGAAAGTACACCAGTTCAGGTGGCTAGACTCCATTAAAGCACAGATGTGAATGTCCCAAGTGAACAAAATGCACAGGAACTCTATATAATGGACTGTAATGTACTACAGGAGAAAGAATTATTATATGTGGAGAATAATAAGAATTTAAGGATTCTGAAGGATCACAGAAAGTGTTATCACATTTTCAAGCATTGATTTGTAGGGATTTGATCATTTGGTTACAGAATTTCATCGTGAACTGACATCGGTTAAAGAACCATTGGAAAACCACCTGGGAGTACTGGATAGCCCGCTGTTTCATCAGCCTAGTTCGGGACTCTTCATCACCAGGCACCAACCGCCAGGGTGCGAGCCCAGGACCTCCTGGTTACAAGGTTAGAGAGCTCGTAGGCCATTAAGCCACTGAAACCCGATCCAGTGGCTGACCCACCAACTCCAACTTCTGCGCGATCACTGGTCACGCCCGACTTGCTGAACCCTAGTGGTCACGACTTCCCACTAGAACCCCAGGTAACTATCACACTTGTATACTACTATGGACAATTTCGAGAGATGTTACCAACACTGTTCTGTAGCCATTGATTTTCACTGCCTCAAGTCCCGTGCAACCTGCAGTCTACACTTCTTTACGGTTCCTGAACCAATAGTGAAAGGTGCCATAGATTAATGCCATATTTTAATTTGACCACCTTTAACTTTTTTTCTAACCTAATTCTCTGTCACCATCTATCTGTAAGCAATGGAAATCGAAAATTCATGTGAAACACGTATGCATCTTTAAAAAGAGTCGACGTAATTCGTGTGACAATCATAGGGGTATCAGTCTGCTACCAGTCGCGTCTAAAATATTGGCTGTTGTCTTGATTCACAGGCTGTGCAAAATACGTGAGGGATTGATTCGCGAAGAGGAGACTAGGTTTCGTTCAGGTCGTGGATGCATTGGTCATGTGTTCACCCTTCGTCAGTTGTTGGAACACCGACACACGTATTGCAGGCCAACGATCTTTGTGTTTCTTGATATTAGGGCTACCTTCGATTCGTTGGACAGAACTGTGCTCTGGAACTGTCTCTTAGAGAGTGGTGTACCTGAGGAATTTGTTAACATCTTGAAGGCCGTATACAGAAACACCTCGGGTAGAGGGAGGGCATATAACCAACTATCATCACTGTTCCCAACCAACAGTGAGGTTAGACAGGGTTGCCCAATCTCCTCATTTCTCTTCAACTTTGCCATCGATGACATTCTGGAGTCAGCTCTGAAGGATGTGTGTGAAGGTGGTGTAGATCTGCTACCTGGAGATAGACTTTTTGACCTTGAGTATGCAGACGATATCATCTTACTGTGCGATAGCATGCAGGCTGCCCAAATCGCACTTAATCAGTTGGCGATCAGTGTCTGTAGGTATGCAGGTGAACCCCTTGAAGTTGTTGATAAGTAGTTGTGTGAGTGCTGGCGGTGGGATGACGGATGAGATTTCCAACCCTATAATGAAGGCTAGGGTGGCATACATCAACCTGAGCCACCTATGGCGCCGTCGCGACGTTAGCCTAGCTGTCAAAGGTCGGGTATACAATGCTTCGGTGCGGGGTGCCCTGCTCTATGCCTGTGAAACCTGGCCTCTCCGGGTAAGCTGAGGATGTTCGGCGACTCTGTGTGTTTGATCATCACTGTCTCCGCAGGATTGCTTGCATTCGATGGCATTGTCGCGTGAGTAATTCCGTGGTTCGGCGGCGTGTATTTGAACACAGTGGAGATCACCATTCATTGAGTGTCAGTGGCTTGGACATGTGGTGCGAATGTCATCCTAGAGGCTTCCGTACAGCCCTGGGACGGGATGGAAAAGGCGCTTTACAACTAGCGTGGTTCACAATAATAAAATAAAATGTATGCCAGTTACTCAGCACAGCAATAGAAATATGCTCAATCGGCATGAAATCTTTATTCACCAATCTTTATTCCACTTTATGAAACTATTGATTTCATTTGTGGTGGTTACACTACAAGCAGTGACGTACCTATGAGTTACCTATTCTTGTCAACTTATATTAGAGATATTATCTTACCATGTAGAGAAAAGATCAGGGGTACTTTCCAAGGAATCCATTATCATCCATTTGCTAAGCACTTGTTAATATTACCAGGTCATAAAATATATATGTATATATATTAATGACTGCTTCACAACAGTGCATCACATAACTCTAATTCAAGGTTGATTTATTTAAAGTAATGGAAGCTCCTTGGAATCATCATCACACACACATACCTACATACTAAACTATGTGTACAAAACAAACAATGGACCTCCGCCTACTATGATAGACTACTTGACCTATTTAGAAATATGATTAGTCATTAGCATGTACTTTTGTTTTATTTATATATAACTGAGTAATTTTATTATTGTGAACCCACGCTAATTGTAAAGCGATTTTGTAGAGAAACTAAAATGTCTTATTCAAAGATAAATAAAGTGCCAAGTATTATTTATACCATAAGCCATCCATCAAACTTGGTTATTCCTTTGCATTCCGAGTGGTGGAACCCGCCCCGCCCCCCGCTTCATAGGGTTTCAAGCTTTAACCTTGAAGTTTGAGTAGCGATGGTATGCTGTTGTCTTTTACGGAGTAAGGTAGCTAGAATTACGCCCAACCTTTTCTAATTACTATCGATTAGACAAGGTGTAGGAGTTTTTCGGCTGAGAAATTGAACCCTGGACTACCACCATCCATATGGTGGTGGTTAGAAAATATTCCACCACTGAACCGAACCACTAGCGCATGGTATAAAAGATAATGGAAATAAGCCTTTTGTACGCATCCCTCATCTATTCCTGTTATGTTAGATGTTGTGCGTTAGAATCGTAGTGAAAAGTGCACTTTTTGGATTCAATATGTTAAATTCAGCATTGGTTATTTGTTTTCAAGCTGGTGAAATTAACTCCGTCATTGAAGTGTTGGTTTATAGGGATTTGATTGGTTGGTTACAGGATTT